AAAGCTTATGCGAGTTAATCTGAAAAAAAAAAAAAAAAAAAATCCACAAGTAAACTAAGATTTCTAAATAAAACAAGTACTGCAGAAACAAATGGACCCAAAGTAGGCTTTAGCAAATTAAAATAAATTTAAATTTCAGCCAAATTAGATTCCAAACATTAGGGTCAAGTTTGTACAGCTTTATAGAATAAATGTTCTTAATTTGAACTTCTTCTATTGCAACATTTAAACATCACTACGTATTTTCCAGTTCTTGTGAAATGTGGGTTTTCAGTCTGTTGAAGCTAAAATGAGTAACGGTATAAACAGCTGAACCTTGAATAGCAAATTCTGTAAGGAAGTTTGAAAGACTTTCGGTGAATGAAACAATAAATTACTGAGAGAACTTTTCGTAATTAAGACTTATTCTACACAGTAAAGAATATTTTAGGTAGTTAAGTTTCGACTCCAAATATTCGAATTTTTACTTTTCCGATGAAAAACAGAAAATATTTTCAAAAGTAAATACGAAACTACTATATTAGGAGATGCTACAGTGAACTTCAGTGACGTCACAGCCGAACGAGTCGCTGGCTTTTCGTTTGTTTACTCCAAGTGAGCTAACCTGTTCTTTCTACGGACTACCCACCTGCATTCGGATGGTCGCGTACGATCCCATTTAACAGGCGGTAGCGAGACGAAGGTTAATTAATCGCAGTAGGGTCACACAAGAGAATATTGCAGTTAATATCAGTACAAAACGAGTAATCTATTATGATATGTCAGGAAATGATAAGAAAATAGGGATTAATGATGGTTCTAATTGCAAGCGAGGACGTGTAATTAGTTTAAAAAATCTTTAATGTATTGACAAAAAGAAAATTTTAGAAAGAAATTACTTAAATTCTTATATTTATCAGAGGAATTTTTATGCAAACTTAGAGTTTAGTCTTAGTCTTATAGCATAGGACTGTCAGAATTTATTATTCAATAAGAAAACTTACTGAAAATTATAATATTCTTATATACTCATCACTTTTTCAGTATCTACACATGTTTATAGGTTCAAATGCCATATTTAAAAATCAGAGTTATTTATGAAATAAAACCTTACAAAATCTGATAAATCATTGATGTGTGCAAACTGTTAAATCTAAATCTCTTACATTAAATTATTTTTGTCTTTTAAATTACATCCCATTATTTTTTAAATTTAATTTATTAATGTGTTTGTACTAATATTTTCAATGTTCTTTGAAATACTTTTTGTGTCCTGAAATTGCCAAGTATTTCTACAAAAAAAAAAAAAAAAAAAAAAAAATAAAAAAAAAAAAAAAATAAAAAATAAATAAATAAAATAAAAAAATAAACAGCAATACAAAATTGTTAATAACCAGTATTATATGATTAATTATTCATTTAATAGTTGATATAATCGCTTTTTTCATGTCCTTATTTCATGTCTAAATTTTCTAGACAGAAATCCTCTGTCTAATTTTTATTATCTTTTCTATGACGAAAACTTTCAAAGAGGAATGAATTAAAGTCTTGATTGTGCAAAACATATCTTTGAAGCTAAATGTATTCTAAGAATTACATAAAATGTAAACAAGATTTTGTCCCTCCCCACAAAAAAAAAAAACAGTCATTTAAACTATTCCAACAGGAAAACGATAAACATTGTGAACATAAAAATCTGCACATTCTTATATATACTTTAATAAAAGGAAACGTGTTCCTTCTTTTTATATATACAAGAAAAGAAACTCATTTTTGTTTTTGATCTTTTGAAAGTCGCCAAATGATTGGGTTCAAATGACGGATCCGACAACTTAATGCTCATGCGTAGTTAATGTTGGTTGCGAATAGCATCGGCCTCTGTGTTTTCGGTCCACTTCGTGAACTTCCTACTGACTGCAGGATGGTATTACCTTCTATACTTGGCGAATATACTATCTCTACTTCTATACTTGGCGTATGTTTAAAACTGGCGATACTATACTTGGCGTATGTTTAAAACTGGCGATTGTAATGATTCATAGATGGCGTTTTAAATTCGTCTGCGACTCAGAGTTGTAAAATAATCAAAAAACTCGACACCAAAGAAGATCGCGGATATAACAACGTATCCAGCAATGCAATGAAAGAAGCTCCAAGAAAATGCTACATCCAGATTATAAACATCATTAACGCTTGAGGTTAATTTATTTTCCTCAACGGTGGAAACATGCAAGCATAATTACACTACTTAAACCAAGACCCGAAATTTCCAACCAATTATAGACCAATAAGCCTTCTTCCTTGTCTTGGAAAAAACTCTTCAAGCGTGTGATACATACCCGACACAGTGAACAGCTTACTGTAAGCCATATTTGAATTTAGAATTCAAAAGACAAAAATCAACAACGTTGATTTTCGTTGTTTGAATTCTAAATTAATACTTGTTCGGCGTGTTATTTTATCTTAATTGCAAACTACGTTCACAAAGATAACCAGTTTAGCAGGAAACATCACAGTAGTAAAGTACAAATTATAAATGTAGTTGAAACGATTGCCTTCACAAAAAAATGCAGCGTCGTGGCCTATTTCTTAGATATAGGAAAAGCTTTCGATAAAACCTGGCATGAAGGCCTGATATACAAATTTACTATGATCGAGTTACCAAGCAAAAGAATACATATCTCAAGTTCATATCTAAAATGTCGTAAGAGTCGATGCTACGCTCTTTTAAAAGAAGTACATACGTGCCGGAGTACCATAAAACTCGGTCGTGGCTTCAACGTTATTTAATATATATCTAAAGGATATGCCGGAGCCTTTAAATTGCCAAAACAACCAAATATGCAGATGACAGAGTTATCATGTCCAGATCAATTAGGCCCCAACATGCAGTTGACAATCTCCAGTTTGGACTTTAATGGATTTTTCCGGATTATAGATCATTAGTTTAAATCTGGTAAGATGGCATGCAGAAATTACAAAATTAAAAATATGAAACCGTAATTGTTGAATTAAAGAACAATTATGATCTAAAGGATATCAAAATTTACAAAAAGAAAAAGCTTAATATTTATTTGTTTACTTTATTAAACATCTCTTTCAATGTAAGTTGTTTAAGTTGCTTCGTTTCATGTGATAATACTTTCTCTTTAATTCTATTAAACAGACATAATTTCTTGTTTAGTTACAAAGTTCCGCTGTTCAAGTCCTATAATTGCTGTGTTGTGAATACCGACTAATTTGTCAATCGAAATATTTTCGTTTTTAATAACCTCTGGGTCACTTTCTTCACTATCGGAAGCGAATTATAATGAGGAGGATCTTGATTTAAATCATATCAAAGACGTAGTATATCGAGATCAAATACTACATTTAGTAAGGAATTATAAGCTAAATAAAATAAAAACATCTGCCCTGAAGATAAGGATAGTGCTGACAGATAAACTTCCAATTCATTGGGCGCCGCGGTGTGAAATTGATAAACAGATTTCGGATTTCAAAACATACTTTCGCTTTGTAGATCTTTTACATATTAGTAAATATATATAGGAAATTCTATTTGACATCATCGAAAGTTCAAGCTTACTTTTATAAAATTGCTCTAACAGTCTGCAAAAAATAATAAGCCTGATCCAATTCGAAGATTAAGGAACAACGCAATCTGCAACATTAACTGAATTAGATAATTTTAGCTTAGCGTATACCGTCCGTTACACATTAAACGCGCATGCGCACACACATATTTGCAGCCGTAAAGATCTTACGCGCACTTGTAAACGCCTGTGCGCATGCGTGAATGTGCAGAAAGTTTGTAGCTTTGAGGTCCGGATTATAGATGTCCGAATTAACAACTTTTGACTGTAATCAAGAAAACAACATTTACACATAGAACCCCCTTTTTTTTTACTTACTTGAGCAGTTCGAGACTAAAACACTAAGTTTCTTGGAGATGTACTGTTTATCTCTATAATAATGTCTGGGTTTTTAAAAAATCCTTAAACTAATTATTTTCCCCCTAAACTAATTATTACTTTTAAAAACAAAAAATACCAAGATGATCATTACAGTTAATATTTAAGGTACTTTTCTGTTTTGCGGGTGCAGGCGATAAAGTCGGCAATAATGGTACAACTGATGCCAAACATAATATCCTTGATGGTAACCTTTAACGCCTCATTTTCAAAACAAGTCACAGCCATTTCTTATCAGATTGTTGTTTCTCTCAATATTAGCACGGAATTACGTAGAATTTTTACCAGATAGTTCAATTTTATGCCCTAAGGCCATTCGCAGTAATAAAGTCTATTAGGATGCAATCACATCGCTCACACGAAGGAGAAAATATAGAAAAGGCAAAGTCAAGGGTTAAATTCTTTAATTCTAACTAAGCATACACTGCGGTTTTATAGAATTTCTGAGTAAGCTATTCATACGAATTGAAATAATTCTTGCATTAAAACTTGTATTCCAAATTAAGATTTAACTTGAAATTAATGTAGATAATTACTGAGAGAATTAGATTTTTGTAGCACAGTTTATGTGAGATGAGATCACTTGGGGTAATGTGATCGGGATGTTGAATTATGAAAGCATAGAAAATTCTTAAATTAATGTCTATTTACGAATTTATTGTCTTTATTTATTGGCTTTTTACAAAATTTTAAAGGATTCTTAGAACAAACATTTGTTAACGCTTTTTTATGTGTATACTGTATGTCGCCAATCAGTGGCGTAGCTAGGGTGGGGCAAGGGGGGACATTTGTCCCCAGGCGCAGCATCCAGGGGGCGCCAAATTGATGCTATGAAATTTTTTAATGGAATGTTTTCCCATTTGGCACACATATAAAGGGGCGCAAATTCTTCAGTTGTCCCCGGGCGCTGGAATCGTAGCTACGCCACTGTCGCCAATAAAGTCTGCTTGAGGAGATTTGCGCCGGCAAAACGGAAAAGTACCATATTTAAATTGCTTCTAATTTTGCTATTAATTGAAATAAATTTTATGAAAAACTACTGATCATTGATAGCACATTTATAATAAGTCTATTTTATTTTACACTCATACATTACAAAAATATTTCACACAAAAACTTCCCTCTGGACTTCAAAAGAAAACTAAGACACATTTCCATTATGCACTAGCCACCTTCTTTGCACCTATGAAAGAGAAGCCAAACAAAACACCACATTTTTTTAAATTGTAAACCATTTCTATTTTATAAAAATGGTTGATAAAAGGCAGCGTATTTATTTCTAGTTACAGGTGTTGGGTCTTGTCGTATGTTTGGCTTATCTTTCACAGAAGCCGAAAAAAGTTGCAGGGGCATAATGGAAAAGCATCAAAACACAAAAAAATCTAAAATAAATAAAACCAAATTCAGGCTGTCCACTTTAAGCAACGAGTATCTTGGTGAACAGCACAACATTTTACATTACAGTAACGAGTACCACACTGAACACAAGTATAATTAGAATCAAATCCACAAACAGCACAGAAATGTCTTTCTGGATATTTTGAAGGTGGTACTTTAGCTGTTAAATAATTAGTTTTATCTTTTGTAAAATATTGCTCCTCCTCTTCCAGCAAAGCTGTAAAATTCTTCCGGAATCTTTGTTTAAAAGGTTCAGTTTTTAATTTTTTACGTCGCTTATTTTCAATGGTAGTTTCTTGAAATTTTGGAGCATTTTTATGCATTACTAGATTTGCATGAGGATCCTCATGATAATTATCCTGCTCCAATGCCTCTAAAGCTTTTTTAATGCGACGTCTACGAGCAGCTTCATCCATAATTTTACGTTGGTCTTTAACCCTTGTACTTTCTCGTTTGTCAGCCATGATATAACAAATAATATATTTACACATATAATAATGTACGTAACTGAATTATTACATGAAACTATTTCTCAGCAAGTGGGAAAGAAATCATGTCCATCAAATCATCAATACGTGTTTGAAGTACTTCAAGCATTTCAGCAGCAATGAAAAGATGAGTTTCATCAAGGTCTTCAATTATAAACTTCTTTTTTAGAGCATTGGTTTCATCTAGATGTAAAAGGAACTGCTTCATAGATGGATCACTGAAAGAAATAACTCATATTAATATTTTTGCATTTACACAGCAATTAAATTAAAAAAAATATTAAATTTAATACTTATATACTGTTAATAGTTACGTTTAAACATTAGCAACATAGCTGATGGGAACCAAAAGCATAACCAATATATAAATGGATAAGAGTCAAAATTTATTCCTAGATTGAAATATTTTCACTCGTCAATAAAGGTCGCTCTCCTCCCAATTTGACAACAGTTTATTTTGAGATAATAATTCTAGCTAAAAATTATGAAATATCTTTGATTTCTGATTACTGGCAATAATCAACAGTGATTAAAAGTTTAACATGAATGGATTACATATTTTGATTCACATAATATTTCACCATTCTGCAGAGAATATTCTCTTTTCTTTTTTGCATGTAGGATTAACCCCTCTTCAGCAAAATGAAATAAATTTCTTCATTTTTATCAAACAGCGATAAAATATTGTTTGTTTATTTGAATATGGCAAAACATATAAGGGTTATCTCTAGAAAGCTAGCTCACACTTATTTTACATGTAAAGAAAATAAAAAAAAAAAAAAAAAAAGGCCAACCCATTCATTCAGTTTCAAAACCTGGGTTGAAGTACTACTATTCAGCAGTCTCATCACTTGTTTTGGTGGACCAAAGGTAAAATACTGCTTGATAGATGCTTAATATCTCAAGTAAACTGCCATTTTTATTTTCTCTTTTAATATACGTATTTTTACAAAAAAGATCCAACTGAGACATTTCATTAGATTTTAATGTTTTCATAAAGCTAGCACACGAGGTGTTATCAGTCTCAAAATGCATTTTCCCCCCCAAATCGTATTTCAAATAGTTGGCACCAAATGTAATTATGATGTATTATTTTTCAAAAATAAATAATAAAAAATCTGTAAGTATGTATGTTATTTATTCACATGGTGGAAAAATGATAGAACTTAGAGTCACTGAACTTTTTATCATAATAATCCCTCACCCAAATATAGGAACCCTGAAGTTCGGATTGTGAATTTGTTTTTGATTTATTTCACATTCTGTAAAAATTTAATGAATTTTCGTTTAGCAAACTCAACAATTTGAAAGCAAGTAGTGGCAATGTTTGAAACAAAACATTTTTATTTCCAGCATTCCAGACTGTTGCTATTTGGTAAAATGTAAGATATTTATCTTTCAATTTTAATCCCTTAATTCCGCGACTTGAAAGCAATGTGTTGCCATTGCCTCGAATAAAACACTTATTATCTTGATGCATCAGCATGTGCTGCCATTCAGTAAAGCATAAGATATTTAACTTTCAAATATAGTTTTTCTGTTATTGAGTAGCAAGCCAAGTGACTAAAAAGCAATAAACACAGTTCTTAAAAGTATTTTTTCTACTTTTTAATCCAATTGTTTTAAATAAAAATGCATTTAAATTATGAGATGTCTAAATATTAGATTTTTTATGAAATGAGAATAGCTGGACTGATTAATACTGATTATATACTTTTTTTAATAACTCTTTTAGGCGGTTGGCTAGTTTTCAAAGAAATAACATAATATTGCGTTCTACAGGTTCATGAATTTGAAGCGATTGATGAAGAATCAAAACACAATTTTATTTGGCAGTATGACATAGGACAGTTCCAAAGACACATTTACAGTCATAGAAAAACTACAATAAACAATCAGGAACACAGCCTTCAGGCTATAATGATAATTACAGCTTCAGGGCAAAGCACTAAAGTACAGTTCCCGACTTGGTCATTTGCCCTCAAGACACAATACTACACTATTCAAGTTACTACTACGCTGCGTACAAGTAGGATATATATAGTTTTAACCTACCTTCTAGAACAGCGTTTCCCAAACTTTTTTTACCATGGCATGGTACGAGATTTTAAATTTTTTCGCGACCACCTTATAAAAAAAACATTTATTACAAAACAAATATTATTTTTTAATAAAAATCATAATTCAAGTTATTTGTTTGTTTATTTCATACACAAAAATTGCAAAATAATTATATAACAAAAACATAAGTAATTAAAGACAATCCATTTATCTTCATTTAAAACTTGAAGTAAATAAAGTAAATTTTGTTTTACACATTTTAACCTTATTGCGAAGGATGATGTTGTTTTTCATCACATAGTAATTTCAAATTAGGACTTAATGATGCTAATTTTATTCTCAAATTAGGTTAGACATCCAACCTGTTTCGATACTTATTTTTTAAGTACACCAAGGCTGAGAATGCAGTTTCACACGTATAAGTGGTGACAAAAGACATTAAAAATTGTATCGCTTTCACTTGAATATTCTTTTTGACAGCGCAACCAAAAATTAATTATTGGTACAGTTTCAAACACTTTTTTAAGATTAATATCGCACAAAACTTCAATTAAATTATCAACTTCTTGTTCACTAAGATTAAGCATTTCTTCCTTTTCAATATCGACAGAAAAAAGGATCTTTAATCCATATATTATTTGAAAGAATATCCAAAAAGTAGTCCTTAAAACTATTTATTAGCTCCGAAAGACGCAGTGGCATAGCTAGGGTGGGGCAAGGGGGGACATCTGTCCCCGGGCGCAGCATCCAGGCGGCGCCAAATTGATGCTACAAAATGTTTTAAAGAAATGTTTTCCATTCTTGGCGCACAGAAAGGGGCGCAAATTCTTCTGTTGTCCCCGGGCGCTAGAATCCTAGCTACGCCACTGAACAGACGTTTTGAAACGTTTCCTTTTGAAAGCCATAGTGAATTACAATACAAAAGGAGGTGTTTATGATCACTCCCCATTTCCGTGCATAATTCGATAAAAAGTCTGCTATTTAATGGACGAGCCTTTATGTAGTTTACAAAATTGACACATACATCCAAAGTCATGTTTAAATTTAAAGGCATTTGTTTTACTGCCAACGCTTGTTTATGGATACTACAGTGCACCCATACACAATTAATTGCTAATTCTTGAATTTGTTTAAACAAACCTTTATGACAGCCTGCCATTGCATGTGCTCCATCACTACTTAGCCCAACACACTTCATCTAATCAATACCTTGACTAGTGACAAAATCATTGGTAGCCTTAAAAATTTCATCTGAGGTCATTCTTGTCAGTAGCCTTTTACAAAACAAAACATTTTCTTGTATGGTGTCTTCATCAATATATCTGATAAAACACATTAGAATTGCATTATCCTTGATACTTGTGCTTTCATTTATTTGCAAGGAAAAAAAACTTGCTCTTTTTTACTTAAGCAACTAGTTCTTCTTCTAAATGTTTCACGCATTCATCAATTCTTCATTTAACTGTATTATTTGATAAAGGTATCGCCAAAAATAAACATTTTTCCTTTATTCCGCATAAAGTATTTGCGATAATTTTCAAAGCAGGAAGTATTAATTTTTCTAAAGCACTATGAGGATACCCAGTTTCAGCTATTAATTTGGAAATTTCAAAAGATGTCACAGTGAGATTTTTATTTGACAGGTGAGGTAAGAGTGTATTTTTCATTTATTTGTTTTTAGCAGCAATCAATTCATTTTTCTTATCAGTAAAAAAGTTAATTTGCTTATCAGAGTACTCAATTGAGTGTGTTTAAATGCCGTTTCAACTTTGATAATTTCATGCTTTCATTTGAAAGTTGCTCATTGCAAATAACAACACATAGCGGCAAATTATTTTGAGTGCCGCCAGCAATGAACTCAAAGCGTCAATTCGTCACAATAGTCGCGAGTCCAAGTAGCTTTACGCTTGTTATTTTGGCACTGTATATCTGCTTTAGGTGCTTCAGGCACAGTTTCTTCACGATCATGATGTTCAGTTTTGCTCGTGCTTGGTTGATCATCAACATTTAAATCTGTGGTTTTCTTGATTAACCATTTATCCATTTTAAAAAAGGTTGAAAGCTTTAATATAAAGAATTTGTTTATTAATGATTTATAAGAAAAAGTATTTTTATTACTTACCAATATGAAGTTGCTATTAATAATAGAAAATAATAACTAACTGTCAAAAAAAATAGGTAACAAAAATTCAAACATAATCTTGTTTCAATACACATGAGTTTATGGCACATGTACCGGAGAAAGCACTGAATGACTAATTGAAATCAGCCAATCAGAGCATCTGAATTTAAACGGTCCGGTAGGAAACGGTGGTAAAGGGTTGCCACCTGTAGTACTTGAAAAAGTTTCGAAAAATATTAAATTTAGAGCAAAATATTATAGATTTTTTTGTGTTTTTACAATTTTTGCCATGACCCTCCTTAATTTTTCTGCGACCCACACTTTGGGAAACACTGTTCTAGAATATTCTTACTCTGTCTATGGCGTACTGCCAATTCTGGCAACTCCACCTTTCCCTCCCACTTATTGGCAACCATAACCCAGCTTTGCAGGGAAGCTTATCACCGTAGCTATGCATTTTGGAACAATAGTGAATATAAAAAAAAGTATGACTACTCTTAATACAGTGGAACTTCGAGATATGAGCACCTCTATATACGAGAAATTTGACATACGAGGGAAGTATGAGTGAAACATTTGTCTCGAAATACAAGCAAGGAGCCAGGCTGTGGGTATGCATATCACACTTCCCGATCTGGGTCGACTCAGGGTCTGTTCACTCTGTGTTCTTTGATCTCTGTGTTTGTGGGCTTGTGAATTAACTGTTTTTCACATTTAAGGTGAAAATAATTATTTCACAATGACTCCCAAAAAGATTGTTGCCTCAGATAGTGCTGCAAAGAAAAAGAAGAAAGCCATGGATGGCCATTGAAATTAAGAAAGAAACCATACATAAACATAAGAGGGGTGCAAGAG